CTTCTCCAAAGAGGGAAAATCCCCATCCGTGGAGCAGCTTTTGATACGCACGGAAACCTTCTTGATATCAAATGGGGTGTAGTTCTCCGTAAGGGCCGCCAGTTGTTCCAACGTGTCCGCAGACTCCTTTGGGAAAATCTGCTGGAGCAACGCCAGGCGTGCCTTTCGGTCCAGCGCCTCGACCTTCGTGATTTTGGCAAAACAATTCGCTGACCGAAGACGCTCGTAAACATCTTCACGGTTCCCGCAAGTTGCGAGAACAACGACAGAGCCGCGACCCGCAAAAGTAAAAGCATCGGAGAAGCAATGCAGCATTTCCTCCAAGGTCGATTTTGTCTTTCCAGTAACCGCCGCCACAGCTCCCTCACGTTGCACCGGGGCGATGGCATCAAAATCATCCAAAATCAAGACAGAAGGCGCACACAGGATACATTCCGCCAAGGCCTGTTGTAAAGAGACCAACTGTCGACTTCCTCCTCCAGAGCCACATTGAACAACACAGACGTGGACATCACGAAGCCTGCTCAAAACAGCTGCAACAAGAGCTGTTTTGCCACACCCCTTTCCACCACACAGCAGAACATTACCATTGCCTCCATTTACCTCACTAAGGGAGGTATTCAACTCCGTTTCCCGAGAGAACCAGCCAGAGAGGTGACGAAGAAGCTCTTGAGATAACTCTCCGTGAACAGCTGCAACTCTATCAAAGCCTGCCTCTTTACAAGAAGAGAAAATACAATGATCTTCCGCGACATCTTTATCGGTCACAGTAGGCAAATTCTCTTCGGGATTGGGGAACACGACCACATTGGATGTCTGCCCAAAAACAGTACAGCAACACACTCCTTCAGGCATCTCTTTAATGTATTTAATGGGGGCTCTCCACGCGTTTGTCCGAAGAAAAGACGGCGTCACCTCCTTAGACTCAAGAATTTGTGACATACGTGCGAGATCCCAAAAACCCACTACAAGACCGTCACACCAATGGTTTCGTTCTGCGGTTGCGGGATTCAAAAAAAGCGACGCCTTTTCCTCTGTAAGAGACGTTATTGTGGCCTCGTAGGTACCGTATGGGTGACAGCGCAGAATAGCCCACATGGGTTTTGTTCCTTTTTCGGCCACTTGCCTCGATCTTGTCGCAATGACAAATTCGGTTCCTTCGGACATAACAGCACATCCGGACGATAACTCACGACCCTGAGAGTCTTCGATTCGCTGGACCACCACCCTTGCATGAACGTCAGAAAAAACAACGACACTGATAGTCATTCCGGGGAATATGACTTGAACCTGACGAAGTAGTTGTGTCTCAATGCGAAGCGCATTCTGTTCCGCAACTTCGCTCTCATCCACGGAGGCAGGCGATACAAGCACTCGAGACGCCTTTATTGGGTGATACACAGGGACACAGTACACAATCGCACCATTTTCCAATTCCAGGTCCCTCCCCAAAATAACGGACATGAGCAGCTTGCATGGTTCAAGATTGTGGCTTTTACGTGTCAGACACCCAACATAGAGGTTTCTTTTTCCGTCCGAAAGCCTCAGCGGTACCACCGGCGGCGTTTTGCTGCCGTAAAAGGGACTAAGACAATCGTTAAGGAATTTGGCCGATACAGTGACAAATGCATCGGTGCGGGAAGAGTCAATAAAGATTTCAAATGAACTTTGCTGCATGTTATTTCTTTATAGAGGGTCAACCATCTGTATGTATATATGTATATATATATGCATACGTAGGGAAAGAAGAAGCGCAAAAAGGAGGAAGAGGGTCAAAAGAAAGAAGGCGAAACAAAACAACAACAAATATTTTATGCACAGATCATTGCCATCACGACAAACAGGCAAGAATAAACTCTACCCACACACAAAAAGGTAAAAACAACAACAACAACAACAACAAAACAAGCAATCATCACTATTTCCATATTTTCATTTAGTGAAAATTATAGAAAAATAGACGCAAAAAATAAAGGCCTACCGTGGTAATGAATCAATTTGGCACATAACCCCACCTCATTTTCCAATACTCGGCATCTTCGGTTGAAACCACACGACGTGGACTGTACATTAGGGTGACGGACTCCCCAGCTGATATGGCACGCCGTGTTAAGAGATGCGCGCAAAACTGATCGGTATCATGCCATCTTAGGCCAACCCCTTTCCCCTGAGCACTGTTAGCTGACGTGAAACAAACCGCAGAATTGGGCTCAAAACTATGAAGGCAGAAATCTATGATGGGGTATAACGTCAGACCGCCGTAATCATCAGAAAGGGCTCGGGACAGGACCATTGACAATCCCCATGGCACGGATTTGGATGCAAAGTGTGGCAAGCTTTGCTCCATGCGCCGCAGTAGAGAGTGTAGCCGTACCCACTCAACACGCTGTGAGGCAGAAACAAAAACCTCTTTCGGTAGACACGGGCCGTTTGAAACTCCTTGCGCCTGCATGGAGTTCCCCATGTACATGGTTTCTAGTTCCCTGTGTAACAGAGTACGACCTGTGGACATATCGATGGTGTCCACATTGTAGAGATCATGCAAAAACTCAAGATAACGGCGGTGAAAGCCTCGGGGATTGTGCAGTTCACGCACCACAACCCCAGTAAGCGTTTCCAAGGGATCCCAACGATGGACAAAACTTTTCCCTTCACTGGGCGGTGCAGCAGATAACGAGAGCGTAAGAGGTAATGAAACCAAAGTCCTCCCAGCAGGAATACGTCGCGTGGCAACCAATTGACATCCCCGCCCAGAGTGAAATTGCAGCTTTAGCGCACAATGAACCGCCACACCATTCCTGGCAGCCCATCGAAGAAAAGAACGTGCGGCAGGCACCCTTCGTGAAAGGAGGTACGGCCAGACCTCTCTATAAGTCTTCCTATTGGCACAGAAAAAACGCCGTGGCGGGCCCTCACTACACAAAAACTCCATTTCCCTTCCTTTCGCACGCCTGTCCTCACGCACATGCACGTACGGCGAGCCGAAAGGAATGACGCCTCCCCCACCACCACAAAAGAAAAAACAAAAAAAAAACACATACAACAAAAAAAATTATTCTGTAAGGCAAATTCCACCACTACACACAAATATTAATAGGGATTGGCAAAGGTCACCATCAAGGACAGACCCCCATTTTTTTTTTCCCCCTCTTAAGCACCAAAACACGTAAATAATAAGTTTACTTTTAGAGGTTTATCTCCCATATCATTGCTCAGGGAAAGTTGTACACCTACTTATGCTTAGTCCACAAATAGATATCATAACCACCCCTCCTTTTTCCTTTTCTTATCTTTCATTCATTCAGTCACCTCTATTCAAACACAACACACAATTTCAAACTCTTCTTTTATTAAGGTTCATCTATTGATAGACGTACTCATCGGCATGCTCATGGAGAAGCTGCGCTGAAGCCTTGGCATCCTTAAACAGCCCATCGACCAGCATAACATCTTCTGCTTCAATTACGGTGCGACCATTTGTTTCCGCAATGATAAGCGCTGGTGTGAGTAGCTGTACCACATAGCGCAGTGAAGTACGTTCTCCAATTTGTCCGAGGAGCTCTAAAGAGGCATCTGACACCTTTACACCCTCCACTTGAGACCGAATGTCAACAATAGAAACAATTTCTTCAATGCTGTAATTAGTCGTACGTACAATAAGTAAACGATCAAGAAGATCCGTGGGAATGCCATGGGGAGATCGAATGTCCGTTCCCCTGATGCGACAGCTGCCTCTGTTGGTAGCAAAAATTACAACAGGAGCCAGTGTTGATTCCAGTGCCTTGTTCAGGAATGTAAAGCATTCAATGTCCAACATGTGTACTTCATCGATAAACAACACACCTGGAACCAATTCAGCTACACCCTGATCAATGTACTTATTCACAACTTTGTTAATCTCATGCCGTAGTTTCTCGGTAATCTCCGTTTTCTTCTGCTTCATTAGACTGTTAACAATAGAAAGGGCATCTTGACCTTGGTTTGGTTTTGCATTGGCAGAGTCAAGATCGTGAAGTGTCACATCCTGAATAATCTCCTTCTTCTTGTGAACATCGCCTTTTGGTAGTGGGACGTACTCATCAGCCTCCAGGTCATGATCTCCAATATAAGCATCCGAACGTCCCACTCGCTTTACAGCCCCTGTACTGGCTTCAATGTAAATGACATCACCAACAGAGACCTTTTCCTTCTCTAGGCTTTCATAGATAGCAGCATCTAACTTGAGTTGCTTGGAGCCCTTGACAGACTTGAGTGTCACGATAACATGAGCAATGGATTTGCCATAGCCCCCCAACGGATTATCTGTCTCCTCTGCACGCAATTCTGTGACTTCACCCTCATAAACCTCTTTTTGTTCCTTAATTCGAAGCCCAATTGCTCGACGGAAGTTTTCCATCAGCACCTCTGTCTTCTTTACTTCGGCACTGTAGACTTCGCTGCCAACCATTGGGCAAAAAGGCACCTTTGGTCCCAACTCTTTCGCGATACCGAGTGCCAATGCTGTCTTGCCTGTCCCAGGAGGGCCGGCAAAAAGAAGTGCACGCCCAGCCATTTTTTTGGATCTTGTGAGCTCCACAACGATACCGGCTGCCTCACGGGCCTTCACCTGTCCCACAAATCCATCAGCGGACGGTTTGGCTGAACCATCTGCATCCAGCCCCAAACCCTTCACATGACTGTGAGCTGCCACACGCTGCCTCTTGGTGGTAGAAATGACCTCCTCAATCTTTATTCCTGGCATCTTCTCTACTCAATCCCCAGCGGTTCTTCTTTTCCCGTTTTCCCTTTTCTTTGTTGCTGGTAAAAGACCCGGATTAAAAAAAAAAAAAAAAGGCACAGACAAGCAAGAAAAATAAATAAACAAATGCAGCATACACTTACATTTGTATGACTCTTTTTTTTGTTCTCCTCAGTTGGTAGTAGAGCCTCTCCACAGATTTATCGACTTAATCAAAAATATATATATATACGAAAGGCTACACGAGAAAGCTTAATACTTTTTATACATTTTTTCCTGTCCCACCGGTAACGCGCTTCAACTCTTGAAGCGTAGCACAAAGTTCCACTGCCGCAGGGTGTTTCTCAGAGACCATACCCTCAATAATCCTACGCGCCTCTTCTGCCAAAGTCTTGGCCTCTTCCACTTTTCCAATGCGCAGGTACCCCCACGCACATTTGTTAGAGGCAGCACCAATGACGATATGATTCCCTCGGTAGCGTTGTCGTGCAATATCAAGAGCCTCTCGATAAGAGGCAAATTGGTTCTTCCGGTCATCCAAGTTGCCATAAGCATCACCCAGTGCTGTATAGGTAGAAACAAGTTGTGTGTGTTGGCTGCCAAATGCCCGCCTTTGTAACTCAATGGCTTTCTCTAGAAGATCTTTTTGATGAAAATAATCCCTGTTCGCTCCATGGGCATCTGCCAATTCCAAAAGCGTCAAAGCTATTTGCGGGTTCAACGCGCCAAGTTTCCTTTCTTGGATATCGTATGCCTGCTGGGCAATTTGTAGACGTTTAGCATGGTTGCCATTTGCACCATGCGCTCTGGAGAAAGTCAGCAACGCAATCGTTGTCTGTATGTGCTCTGGTCCACAATGGCGGCGCACAATCTCCAAGGCTCTCTCGGCTACTTGAAGCTGGGCTCCATGTTTTCCCAAATGGCCATGTGCTTCAGCAAGAAGCAACAAGACACGCCCCACTTTGGCATGTTTCGAATGAAATTTTCGTTCATGAATTTCAAGTGATTTGAGAAGGAGATCTTCCATCTCTTGGTACCGACCAATCTCCTCGTAAGCAGAGGCAATATTGTATAGAACCATGCCGTACTGTGGATGGTCCCTCCCATAGACCCGCTCCACCATATCCCGCGAGCGTTCAAGCAACTGGAGTTTTCTGGCATAGTCCCCAATTTCTCCATAGGCACAGGCCAAGTTGTTCAAACAGCTCATCAGAACGTACTGCCGATTATTATTATTATTATTATCAGCTTTGTCCATGGATTCAATCACGGATTCCCACTGTTTGATCGCATTCGTAAACTCACCCCTTTCAAAAAACTCGGCTGCGGACTTCTGAAGCTCCTCTACTGTGCATCTAGTGGAGAACGGCGGCTGCGTGCTGCACACACGAACCGCAAAAGCGGCAGAAGTCACGGAAAAACGATTCATCATCCCCCCTACAGGGCGGTCCAAGGTGGCCGCATGTAACATGTAGGAATGAAATGGCAAAATTCGTTTCATTGCTGTATAACCCTTTTTTGTGTCTTCCAGCCTGTACCTTGTCAAAAAGAGGATATCGAGAGCAAACCCCTGGTGAATACTGCAATGTGTTCGGTTGAACGTACAGGAATTAACCTGCCATCGTTTCAGAGGCATCTTTTACTTTAGTTCAGTTCATTTTCTTGGTGAGTTCCCTCTCCTTTTTGTTTAGTTTTATTTCACATCTCACAGGTGTTGCTGCGCGCACGCAGAGGGCGAAAGCGGTAATACGCACATCACTGGGCGAACTCACATTGCCAGTATTACTCCTTGTTTGCCCGTACCCTTCTCCCGTACGTTTAACTTCCGGGGCACTCCGCGGGAAGCGTGGAAAATGCTTTTTCCTCTTCTTCATCTTCCTCTTCCTCTTCTTCATCTTCCTCCATGTCAACTGCGTCTCGCCTGTTCCTTTCACATGCCATCTGCAGACGACGCAGCAACGATCCCACGCTTTGAGCGTCCCCCACATAGCAATCGACAATGCTGCGTTTCCGCAGGACAAGCCTGAGCAGCGCTTGCACACCAAACGAACCAAACGGGTTCATTGAAACGTCAATGGTTCTGATACACGGGAGATTACGCAGCGACTCACAGAGTAATTCTACGAGGGTGGTAGTGAGGCGCTCCTCACGCAGATTAATGTGTTCGAGCCATGGGCAGAAGGGTAATGTAAGGAGAATGGGCAAAATGGCCCGTTGGCTCAGGTAGGCGCGGTGCAGATCTAGACGAGTGCCACATGTACCCTTACTAAAGTGCAGGAACGTGTGGTTTGGACGCTCCCCACTGGCCTTACACAAATACATATACCTTTGAGTCGGGTTCGTTTTTACACCATCCTCCGCACTGGCCAATGCCATGCAAAGAAAATCACAGCGTCGACTGATCTCCACAATGTCATCGTTGGGCGTCACCGGCATAACACCAAAGTCCCAATACCTAAAATGGAGGTGTGAAAACTAAATACACTACATGCCATCAACAACAACAACAACAAAAAAAACAGCTACAACAAAAGCCATTGTTAATAATTAGAAAAAGAAATAAGAATATAAGTCGCCAAACTACGCCACACGCACGTACACACCACCTACAAGAAAAAAAAAAAAAACAACAATAACAACAAATCAACATCAAAAGTAAAATAAGTACATACACACAAACAGGAAATTCCTAAAAATGAAGATAGCATGTGGACAAAAAAGAAGTGACCCTATCTTCTCATCTATTTTTTTTTTTTTTTATTATTGTTGTTCCCTGTTTTTTGTTTTGTTTTCTTTTCACTCCCCTTCATTTTTTCCATCTTTCGCATAATGTCAAAGTATAAATCAAAACACTTCCCTTTTTTTCTTCCTTTCTCTCCATCCCCATATCCCTTCCCCCGCCTCACCCGTTTTTTTTTTTTTTTTTTTATTATTTTGTCTTCACTTATGCATCCCCCCGTGGCTACAGTAGGATGAAAACAAAAGATAAGACGTCATGGGGCCATTGGAATTTAAAACATGAGACTCTAGTCCACAATGACCCGCACAATGGCGAGAGGTTGCTCTCAACGGTTCAACAGATTCGCAATAACCTTCTCGTCGACGTGCGCCACCTCCAAAGCAGTCACTTCTCCAGGGGCGGGAAGAACTTCGCCGTGAGTGACGGGGCAGGAGATAAGACTTGAAATGGAGGTACCGGATCGGCGCTCGAGCGTCTCTGCATAGAAGACAAAAATATTCTCCCGCCCATACCATTCCTCAAGGATCTGATAGTTGCGGTGATGGAGGGAGTTAAGAGCTTCATTGGAGATGCAAAGCACATGACGCTCTTCTTCTTCGCTCGACAGTGCAATTTCGCATGCGTTGCCGGCAAATGCGCGAATTTCTTCCGCGCTCAGGTTAATGATTTTTTTATACGTTGCCTCCAGGTGCTCGAAGAATGCTTCTTTTTTCTCCTCGGAGGAAAAACGCAAAAAGTTAAGTCCCCATGCACAGATGCCCTTTCCGCACCAACCAATCAGGTTGGTATGATGTACAACGTCTTCACCGACGCAGCGTTTATTTTCACCACTGAAACGTGGGAGTACAGCAGTGAAGACAAAGCGCTTCTCTTTTGGAATGTTTAAATTTTCGGGGCTGCAAACAACATCAAGAAGCTTCTCGCTGCTCCGATCTGAGAGCGCCATGTAGACAAACTCGCCGTTGTAGGAGAAGTTCATTGCGCCCATCCCCTCCAAGCACAGATCATGACTTTCAAAGTCACGCAGGTCCACGAGTTCCAACCCTGACGGTTCCTCTGACTTTACCGTCTTATCCAACTTTTTCAACAGCTGGACCTTTGGCAATTCACCACGGCGCAATTTTGACATTGGGTACAGGAAAATGAGACGGCGAGTGATACGACCCCTCGCATCCGTAAAATGATGGACAGAAATGGAATCATTCACAAACAAAGCCCCCACCTTGTTCTCGTATGCAGAGCGCATTGTGCGCGGCTCCTCATTGAGGTTAAGGTAGATTACCCTGGCTTTGGCATCATTTAAAAGACGCTCCTCAATTTTCCTTTGAAGGTCAATCACCAAGCAATTGTCCTGTTGTGCCTGATTCTCACTTACTTCAGTCACCGTAATAAATTTGTTGTCATGGACCCTTTTTTTGGAGCCAAAGAAACGGCTCTGAAGCATCATGAGTGTTGCCATTTTTCTTGATATGAATGCTTAAATTAAAAGGTTAATAGTATTTTCTTGCTGCAAAGAAAAAAGAAAAAGAAAAAAACTTTAATACACCACAAAGATTAAAATAAATTTAAATTAAAAAAAAAAAAAAAGGAATAGTAACCAAAAAAAAAAAGAAAAAAACAACAACAATACAAGTATGACCAAAACGCCTCTCCTCCACCCACACATCAGGCACCGCATCATCCTTTTAACCGCACTATACACACAAAAGATGGAGAAATCCTCTTCCTCTTCCACAACTTCTCACTCCCTCACAATTTTCCTTCATTTTTATCAGTGCATGCTGGTGAAAATCAATGCGTACAGAATTCTTTCGTTATGGAGGTCAGATGTTCCTGCTGTTCTGTTGACAAACCCAACCCATCCTCCGTGTGACGCAATTCCTTGAAGAACAGTGGGACAAACGGCGTGGCACCGCGATCGGCGCCCCAAGCAGAAAACACGATCTTGCAGGCCGTCATCAGTGTCTCGCATTGTGTCAATGAAAGCTTTATCCCACTATCTCTTGCAACTTGCTTCACCTGGTGGGCAAGTTCGAATAAAAGTTGCGGCAATTTTGGATCGCGAGCCCCACGCTCAACGATCGTTTGGGCAAGAAGTCCTACAGCGCTCACCGGGGAAGTGCCAGCAGGAAGCAAAGATTCATTTTCCATTCTTCCAGGAGCGGCACAGGGATCAACGACATCCTCAGGCAACCCAATATCAATATCGGGATAATTCTTTTGCAATCGTATACTTTCCTCCAATTTTGACGTCGGTGCCCTTCCAAGAATGCGCATGCGATAGGCCGCGCGTCGCTCTTCCTTGTATTCTTCAATGGATGTGGTCTCCAAGCGGGTTTTCCAGTGGGCCACCGCCTCTTCCACAACGTTGGGGTCATAACCAAATTGACGCCGGAGTACAGCGTAAACATTTGGGTCGGGCGACGACAACAGCGCTTCCTCTGCTGTTGGCTTTCTCCCCTTCTTGTATTGCGGCTTCTCTCGCACACAGCTCGAGCAACGTCGCTGAAAGTGGCGATTGATGGCACCACATGATGAGCATTTCCAGTCTCCCAGGCGGCATTCGAGCGGCATTGTTCCCTCCTCCCCCGGAGGATGGTACAACCGACAGGCATCGCCCCAAAAACATCGACCCTGCAGATAATCCATGCAGGGCTGCCCGTAATCGTTCAGGCCATCTTCATCTTCCATAGCCATCTCCTCCAGCTTCCATTGTCGCTCTTCTTCTTCCTTTTGTTGCAGTACCTCGTTGGGGTGTTCAATGGCCCATAAACGGTCCTTCTTTGCCAACCAGAGGGCATCCACGACGTGAATTGGAAAAACGCCCTCCCAGTGCTCCACGAGACTCTCATATTTGGGACCAAGCACGGGATCCTCGTAGGGGATATAGTCTCGACCAATTTCAAGAATATATTTGCTTGCCGTGTATCCGTACTTGTCACGGTCCTCCTTACATAGCTTATCCAGGATGTACCAACACGCCAGCTGCTTGTTTCCAGTCCATGACTTGATGTGGCGAAAAAGGGCACCAACGACAAGCTCAAAGGCCATTTCATTGTCGCCAACCCCGCGCGCCAACTCCGCGCTCTCCGCAACCGTTTTCTTGCCCGGTTTTTCTGCCGCACGGAGACGCGCACAAAACAACGCAAATCGCCGCAGGGTGTCACGATCTATCGATGGGGGCTCGCGAAAGTATTCCTCACCACCTCCAAACATCGTTCCTTCTCTCTTTTAGTGCCTCTTCGTTTCGAATTTGTTTAAATTCCTTTTTCGCCTTTAAAATTTCCAAAAGCAAAAAAATGACGCCCTGAAAAAAAATAAAAAAAAAAACATAAAAAGCCAGAATGCAACAAGGGAAGACAGACAGACACAAACACAAAAAAAATTACATGAAGAACGCATGAATGTGCCACAGCTCATCATATGAGCCCCACTTCCCCTTTCCCCTCAGTTTTGCGACCCGTGAATTGTAAGTAAACAGATACAGCGTCATATAAGGTCTCGAGGAGTATGTGCCTCCATTCACTGAAAAATGGGACGTAACAACTCCCGCCTCTCCTCTCGCAGAGCCCGAACAATAACCTTCAGATGTTCGATCTCTCGTTGATAGTCGCCGATGGTAGAACCCACACACTCTTCACGAACCGTCATGGCTTTGAGCTTTTGCTTGAGATCCTCAATCTCCTCTTCTCGATGCTGAACACGCAAGGATTCCTCACACACCCGTTGCTCCAGCGCGATCAAACGATCAACAAGACGTAAACGGTCAGCTTGCATCACTTCTACTGCCTTCTTGGCCTCTAAACAAAATTCATCCTTGCATTCCTCAGCAACGCCGTCGTTCGATGGTGGTAATGTTGTCTGTGTTGCTTTTTCACAAGAGAAGGGTGGTTGGACAGACGGAGAATGGACCATTTTCGGAATTGCCATCGGCAATGAAATACGAGAGGCAGTTGCAGAAGTGCCTTCTAAATGAGGCATTTGCGGCACGCTAAACGCACCATTCACAGATGGTTTTGTGCTGCACGTGAGACCCGGTGTTGCATCTGTTGTCACCTTAAATGAAGAACAATTTTCTAAAAAAACGTCGCGTGGTTCCTTTAGTCGTCTGTCTGAAGAAATCATCATGCGGTTGCAACCATTTCGAACGGGTGATTGAAAGCCAGACGTCGCGTCAGGGAGAACAGCTATTTTGTGTATCTTTTCCCCTGAACGATTGCGTCTATCTGCGATGTGCACATGCAGTGCTTCAGCCCAACAATGCCACACTTCAGTTAACGTTCGCGTGCGGCGTTTCTCGGCAAAATAATTAATAATCTCCTGCTGGTACGTCCGCCATCGCCACCGTGAGAAAAGCTGCGCCAGACGGAGTAACCGGGGAGCATACGACATTCGAGCCTGCTCGCGCCAAAGCTGAAAGAGCACACGCTTTTGCTCCTTCCGCGGGAGCATTTGAAGCGTGCTGGAGATAGCGTGTGGCGTTGGGGTTGAAAGAGTCAGCAAACCTTCAAAACGTCTTTGAATGAAATTTGCACAGAGCGTTTCCTGCTGCTTTCGCCTCACCTTCGACCTCCACACACGCAGAATGCGACGCCTTACATGACACTTTAGCTTGTGAAACAGTTCTTGCTCAAGCGCAAGCTCATCCTTCGGTGCAGGAAATGGAACGGGTGCCATCAGTGGAAACTCCTCAATCGAAGTCCAATCACTGTTGCACTTTTCCACCTTTGGGGACTTCTTCAGCTCATCTCCGTTGTTACCGTCGTTTGGCACCTTTTCCATCTCAGGCAGTTTCTGAAATGAGTGTTCTGGTGCATCACAGCTCGATTTCTGCCGTTCGCAATTTGCAACAACGTCGCTGCACTTCACAGTTTGCTGGGTGATGGGAGAAATGCTGCGTAGCGATAAAACATCCTCATTGCCATTCATCGCCTCCACGCGCGGAGCATGCGGGTGGGTTTCGCTGGGACTGAGTGGCACACGAACAAATTCCTCCCACGTGGATTCCTTCATTGAGCCGTTAATTCCCTCGCATGGTTTCTCACTTCTTGCAGCAACTGTAGGTGCATTTCCATTAGCTACGGGTTTTTCCTTGAGCTTCTGAAATTGGTAGAATTTGCAGCTGTCAACCTTGGCAATCTGCGTGAACCAAAGTTTATTCAAGTAATCCACATCCATCACTGTGAGTTCTTCACCCAGAGCGTGGGCGATGTTCAAGAGAAGGCCACAAATACGGTGATCGAGTGATGTCGTGGCACGACGAAAGACGTCCCTTGACCAGTCTTTGCAGAAGGCCGTTAATTCAGCCTGGTAGGGATGTTGGAGTGACAATGTTTTTGAACTGGAGAGCGAATGACCAAACGAAGTTGCCAGCTGCGAAAGTTCCTTCTCGTTAGAATTGTCATCGTCAAAAGAACTCTCTGGAGTAACGGCACAAATGCGACATTTCCCGCCCATGAGACGCCGCGCGAGATGTGACGCGGTGCTTACATCGACGAGAGCCAACAGCTGTGCCGAGCACCTAGTCACAATACTCTCAACCGTGAGAGTGAGAAAACTGTCTTGTAACATGAAGCCCCGGCGACGAATCTCGTTGTGTAGCGCTATTCTTTTCTCAGCCTCGGACAGGAGAGCCAAAAACCGCATACGATGGACAAGCTCCCCCAATGTGACCTTTTCGCGCTGGAGGCACTGCGCAGCTCGCTCTACCTCGGCCGGCAAAACAGACCGTGTGTCCAGCTTTCTCAGCCGACAATTTTTTGAGTTGAGAGTGTCAGGCCAGGAACAGATGCGCAGAATGTGGGCGCGATAATGTGGGAGCGAGGTCACCGGATTGAACTCCAGCGTGAGGTACTGCAGTGAGGGGAGCAAAGAAAGTGCCTCGCAGTCCTCGATGCGTCGCACCCTGTTACCCAGCAAGGAAAGCCGCACAACATTCTTGAACTGCACGAGGCCCAAGGTTGTTGTCAACCGATTACGGGAGAGAAGGACGGTGTGAAGAGAGAGTGCCAGCGCCGTATTCATCCCCGCACCACCAAAGTCTATTGCTTCTTCTTTTCCAATATCACCCGCAGCGCGCGACGGCAATTCGGCTACGCGCTGGCGCACAACATCCGGTGCCACAGAAGTGAGAAGCGCCAGGACAGTTGGAGAAATATCCACTTCTATGATGTTTTGTGAGACGCAGTTCAGTCGCTGAAGGCTTGAATCAATGACCTCCGGATTCAGCTGAACGCGCCTGGAGAGCCGCATTCGTTACAGCCCTTAATCACCAAAAGCAGCTCCAAATAAGAAGAAAAAACAACAACAAAAACAAAAACAGCAACATACCTTCGCCGCAGTCAAACACAAGCACAGATGGCTGCACCGCGGTCTGCTCCTCCCAACATATTTCGGTAAGCAATGCAATAAAATAAAAGTTATCGTATTCGTATACCTCTCCCCCCCTCTCTCTCTCTCTCTGTGTGTGTGTGTGTATGTGTGGATGGGGTAAATTGTGGGTTCTCGCTGCAATGCTCATGTAACAAATGTACATTAGTCCGCATCTAAATATCATTTTCCACCCACCACACAGAAATAACAAGAAGGAAAAAAAAAAAAAAAAAAACTTCTTATCGTATTTTATTTTTTCCCTTTTTTATTTCATCTCTCTCATTTTCTGGCCTCTCGCACAGCCTCCTTTTATGCCTTGCGGGCAAAAAAAGGCACGGAAACAAATCATTTGTGTCTCTCATAAAAGATACTCCACTGTGGCCGTCCCCGTGTTTTAATCATCGCTTCAGTTTCTCCTTTATTTCCTTTCCTTTTCCTTTTCCTTTTTCTTTTATCTTCTAGCAGCATGAAATCAGCAATAAAAAAAAACTTTCCACACCCCTCATCGTTCCAATAAATAAATGGAATATAAAGAAACGAAGGGCAAAACAAAACAGCAAACAAAAACGCAACCCAAAAACAGAAAAAAAAGAAAAAAAAAGTAAGAACGGCAAAAAATACATTTCCACATGCGAGCGAGACAAGTGGTGAGAAAACTCGCACAATTTCAGAGGTTCTCTTCTTCTTCACCACATAAAACGATCGACGCGGGAGATATACTGATATACAGTACATACATACATACTATACATATATATATATATATTGTTTTCATTTTTGCCTCCTTTCCTCTATTTGTCGTTTTCCTTCTGGATGCATTCAACCGCGTTTTGGCATGCGGCAACTTTTCAGCCAAATACACAAACCGGGACCCGGCCACCGCCACTTTGTGCGGTTCCACTACCGCACGAAACCAGGAGAGAGCGATGGAAGTTCCCACCCATCACGCCCCAAAGAGCGCACTGAGAGGAACATCCTCATCGTCGCTTGCCTCCGCCTTCAACTTCGGATTCCCACCGCGGTCGCGCTTCACCCGACCCCTACGCCCATCCTTGTCGCTGGTGTCAATTTTGCTCTTCTTCTTTACAATATCTGCAACCGACATGTCGTCCTCGGATTCCGACACCTCCGCATTTTTCGCCCTGCTCCGAGACTTGTGGGAAGTTGTCTTCTTTGATTTCTTCACCCCCTTCTTCTGCTTTTTAGACTTTTTTGCTGACTTTGCCCTTTTCTTCTTTCCTCTCTCGCCGTCACCGCTATTCCTCTTCTTCTTCTTTCCATTGGACCTGGAGCCATTCGATTTGGACGTGGATGAACTCTGCCGCGGCATGCCTCTATTTTTAACAATCTCATCGTATTCCTTCTTCTGCTCCTCCGTACCGTATGCCTCAAGCCACTTATATTGCATCTCATCCATCTCCGCAAAGTACTCCTTCACAGCCTGCTCCAGTGACTTCTTTTTAGTTGTCTCTTGGGCGCGTTTGAGAGCATCAATTATTGTACGGGTATAACTTGACTTTTGTGTCAGTTGATGCATCAAATTATGATGATTTTTCGAGATGGACTTTTGATGATTACATAAAATCGCAACCTCCGTGTTGGCCTTGTTGAAGTATGCAAGTTTATCCGCCACAGAGGCTGAAGGCGGTACTGGTTTTTCTTTAAACCAACGATCTAATGTGATCGATGCATTGTATGTACGAAACACCTTTGCACTCAGACCGGCCATAAACGACTTCAGGTGATCGTTCAACACTGTGGGTGTAATCATATCAAATATGTCGTCGCCTGTTTTCTTCCCTTTTGTGAAACGACGGAGTAATTCATAGACTCGAGGAAGAACCACAGCCTCATTCTCATACCGGATGGAGTCTTTACCAAGAAAATCAAATTTTACTACGTGGTCGGGCTTTAGTTCAATGTGTTCCACACGAAGAGAACAACATCCCACGGTATCGGCCTCATCCGATCCTTTTTCGTTCCCTACACGGAGTGCCAACTTGTCAATGAAGTACATGGCCACCGCACGTTGAGCTTTCATCAGTTCCCTCGATTCAAAGTCTTCTATGTAGCATCGACGAATCTCATCCACATGATTCTTAAGTTCCCTTGCCTTCTCAAACTTCAGCATGTCCGACTGCCCCTTGATTGCTGAAGAAGGGGCGAGCATAACATACTTAAAGCTGCCAAGAATGGAGTCACGCCACATCGCCAGCCACGTCACGTTATGCTCGTGTAAAACCTCTTTCCACCGATGTCCTTCAGGGGGCTTTGGAATAGGGGAAAACTCGTCTATGTTGATCGTGATATCCTCTGGTTCAACACGTTTCTTTAGTTTTCCCATCATTGGATGTTGGCCACGCCCACGAAATAGTCCTGGGGGCTCTACTCGGAAATTTGCCACTTGCTCCTTCTTTCCATCCCACACACACCACTTGTATGGCTCTGCTTCCTTTTCGGCCTCGAGTCTCAACTGTTTCTTTTCCTCCTTCGTGCGACTTAACTTCTTTTCGCGCTCCCGCAAGTGCCATTGATAGATGGGCTCAAAATCACATAATTCCAACCGGCGAATTGGATGCTGGCGCTTGTCAAGAATCTCCCGCCAGCTAGAAAAAAAGTTTCGACGAAAAATCTCATTACGGTAGTAATCGTGTTCCCGCATCACAGCAAACATCGTCGCAACCTCCTCCTCCTCCGGTGTCAACTTGAACTCCCGTCCTTCGTAGTATATTGGGATGCCATGGGGCTTGTACTCGGGAGGAAACATGACACCGTTATGACACAACGTGTCCCAGCGCTTCTGTCCCTTCGTCGTGAACTGGACGTTTTCCTGCTCCCACCAGTTAAGCTCCTCTCGGTTCTCGCTAGAGTCGGAGTCATCGTCTTCCTCCTTCACAACGGCATCTTCTTTCACTAAGTTTTTTTCCTTCTTGGACATCAAACTTGTTATCTTGTTTGTTTGTTTGTTGCTGTTCACTCTTATGAGCTGCTGCTATTTTTATTGTTTACCGTCTGGTGATGCGTGCCCCCACCCCACCACTTTAACCCACGCTCTGCACACAGGCAGGAAACGTGCAAAATAAAGAGAAACCTGAAGGGGAGAAAAAGAGAAAATAAATAAATGGCAGGACATGTAAACAAATAAAAAAAAAAAAAGAAAGAAAGTTGTTTGATGTCCGTTCGGTGGAGAAACCAGCAGAAATAAAAGTGGTCGGTCCAACATTTAAAAAACAAAACATAAAACTCATGGACACAATCGCCCTCATTAGAAATAAACCGCGTCTCTCTTTCCCTACTTCTCTCTTCCTCTCTTCCTCCACACACACACACACACGTCTATATAAGAAACAAACAAACCGGGGAAATTGACCAGAGGGCTCTCTTCTCCTTCTTTTCTTTCCTCTTAACAGATGAAAGAGAAGACTCAAAAAAGAACCGACAAACAGCAAAAACAACAACAACAACGACAATGAGGCTCCGCAAGCATCTGGCACGCCAGAACACTGTGGCCATCCGCCAACTTCCTCCTCATTCCTTCAAATTTTATTTATCGCTTCGCGTTACACAGCCTCCTCTGGCAAAGGCTCTGCGCCATGAATCATCCCGCAATCACACCAGCCCTGGTCGGCGGGGATGGGGAAAAGGGTCAGGTACACCCGCTTCAAGATCATTTTGAGCCGTTCCACCTCGGCAGAAAAGTAACTCGATTTTTTGTTGTCATCCAACTCAATTTCAATGCAATCCGTGATAGTTGCCGTTTGCCCATCCTCAAGTTCCACAGTACACACTCCTGTTCCAAGGTTTGTGGTAACTGAGGGGTAAAACTGGGACATCATGTGGTGGAAGCATTTCAACCGGAAAAGACGATCATTGCCAGAGACATCAACAGGGAGAAAATCGGTACTATCGGCGCCATGCTCCAAGTGCATGATCTTTGCCAACGCAATGCATGTCACATCGGCAATAAGATCATTGCGATGACTGGCCGTCCAAGTAATGGTCAATGTCGTTTGAGACCTGGCATTTTGCTGCACATCCACACTCACATTATCAGAGACAGTAATGCGGGTGGTACTTATGGTGTGCTGAGCTTCATACCCGTTGCTGTCATCAGCCACAGCGTCTTGTTGCTGTGGAGTAATCTCCTCGAACATCTGGCTCTGAGCAAAGTAACGCCGCAAAACCTCTAGCACCTCAAGTGCCGACTTGTAACGGGGCAAGGGTAGTACCATAGCCTGCTGGATCTGTGCCACATTCAGGTCAGTAAAGAGTGGAATTTCGGTGGGGTGCACAATGTTGTAGGAGTGTTGCCCAGAGACAAGCAATGCCCCACTAACAAACTCTCCGTTTCTTGCCGGGCTGTTTGCCAAGGCTCCCATCACCTTGGCTGTGCGTTGCACGCTGAATGGAATGCGTATCGCCTCCTGATTCCTGGTGGAGTACACTTTCATTCCACGCTCTGCAAAGTCCTGCTGCAGTTTATTCCTCAGCTGACCCATGGCACCAACATTACCGTGAACAAGAATAACATGTTGTGTCTTAGGGAGAGCCTGAATAAAATCACGCGTCTGTCTACCATCAGAGTGAGCCGAAAAGGACACAGACTGAATGGTACGCATACGAAGTGGAAGCACCTTTCCGTCGGGCTTTGTAACTTCCTTCGGTTTTGTGAGAATATCTTTCGCGATGGTGCCGTCAACACAATACCCGGCAATAATAATGCCATTTCGCCGATCACCACACCATCGCTCAAACAGTTCCAAAGAAATCCCAGACTGTAGCATACCAGGTGAGGCCAACACGACACACGGCCCGGTGTCTTCAAAGGAACGTGTTTCCATGAGGGAGTGAATGTACTTGAAGACAAACGGATTACGATGGTTGGCATGCTGCTGTTTCACACGATCGTTCATAGCACTAACAAATGTCTGGTATAATTTCATGCATCGCTGGGCTAGTGAAGAAGCGTAATAAATAGGAATATGCTGCAACTCCTTATGTGCCTCCCAATATTCTTCGAGAATAAGAAGAAGCTCTTGAGCGCGACCTAATGCGAAAACCGGCACCAGGCAGCGTCCTCCACCCTTTACAACATCATGAACCCACGTCGTAAAGAGAGTTTCGCGTTCTTCACGTGACTCCAGCTCACGTATTCCATTTGTGCTCTCCGCAATCAGAATGTCTGGTGAGTAACTTGGCACTTCCGCACCTAACAGGTGGCGATCCGGGACTCGGGAAAAATCCCCCGTGTAAAGCGTCTTCATGCCTGCAATATCAACCATAAAGAGAGCTGCTCCAAGAACGTGGCCGGCATTAAATGGTTGAAAACGAATACCATTGACTGTTACCTCCTCGTGATACTCCACTGTCTCAATCTTTTCAATGGTGCTTTGCAGCCACTCGTTCGTCACAATATCGTTGGCACTTGCGCCGACACGC